ATTCCTGAGTCAGCACAGCCAACTTTTGTCTCAGCAGCATAGCAGGAGTCAGAACAGAACATTTGTTTGCAGCCTACAAGAGAGAAGCCAGAGGGACAGATAATTCCTGTGATTTAGGAGCCACTGCAGGTTATTTTGTCAGGAGCATCAGTATCATGTTGTACAGCTTTTGCCAGTTGTGCTAGGCCGAGTTATGTGCAGGGAAGCATTTGGCACAACTGCACTTTAAATTATTGCATAATGTTGTCCGATGTGCTACTACAAAAAACAAGCCATGTTTGTCTGAAGCCTCTCCGTTCCAGCCATTAGAAATGTACAGTCTGAAAATATCAATCAATCTTCTCTTTGCATATACATTTTCTTTGTTGCCTCCTTATTCATAAGGAGCTCTAGATTTCAGTTTGAAATTCTGTATCCTTGGTCTGGTACAAAAGATTACAATTTGTTTAATTTCTCAACACTCCTCCCAGGCCTCAAGCACAGCCTAGCAAGAAGATGGGTAATATATTGTTCAGCTTGAGAACTGCAGCAGTTGGTAGAGCTGCAAAGGATTTTAGCAGGCCTTCCCCTGTCCTTGAGCAGATGTAAGTACCTGCATTGCCCACAGGTGGGGCGGTGGGTTTTTGCTGTGTTTGTGGGCTTTGGGGGGAGTTGTTTTGTGCTTTGGTTGGGGTTTTTTTATGTTTTTACTTACAAGGACCTGAAAACCCATGGAATAGGCCAACTGCTGACCTCCTTGTCTTTACTGGACATCCCACTTGGTGATTCCTGCCATCCTCTCACCAAACCATCCACTTGGCTGTTGCCAAGCTGTCCAGTCTTGTCAGGTGCAGCAGTGTCCAAGAGCAGCCCTGACTTACAGGTGCACATGTGTGACCAAACCTGCTTTCACAACTAGGACCTGGCTTCAGCAGCACAGCTCACCTGAGGATGTCCCTTTTCCTGCCCCCCTGCAGCCCAAACTCAACACCCACCCCCTGGCTCCACACCACCAGGGGAAGAAATACATGGGGACAGGGTGCTCTGCTTTTGCCAAGAGAAGGGTACTGAGCTCACACTGTGATCCAGCAAGCTGTTGTTCCTCAAACCTCCATTCTGCTGGAACAGGTATCCAGGGCAAAACATTCCCCCCTCCTGCTCCCTCTGTCCACAGCCACTCTCCCACTGCTCAGTGCAGGAACAGTGCACTGCACCAGGAAACTAAGCCAACTGAGAAAATAAGAGCATGTGTGCTGGGGAGGTTTCTGGGGAAACTGGACCAATTGTGTAATCCAGCTGCCTGCACAGTTGCAGGATCCTGTTGCTGGCACGAGGAAGGCTGGAGATATCCTTACAGGGCAGCATTGTCCTCCCCGTGGCAGCTGAGCCAGAGCAGGGGGCTCTGCCAGCAGAAGGCTGGGGGTCATGCTGAGCATTTTGCAGGATCTAGAATCAAATACTGCTACCTGATGCTTCAAAGCCATGAAGAAAAAAAAAAAAGGAAGAAAATACAAACAATCTGGCCGTATCCAAACAGTTTTCCCCACTATTCTGTTGTAGCACAGGGAAAGGCAGTCTCCACCCACCAGAGCAGTAATTTTGAACAGCACTGTCTGAAACTGAACATTTGTGTAAAAGCCCTTGCTGAAACAGCAAAACCTCAGTCCCCCACTGCTGCAGAAATACACCTGGTAGGTGCCACACCTCCCAGGTGAAGAAGAAAAAGCAGGAGAACATTTAGTGCTTTTTATACCAAATAAAATTACAGCCTCCAAATTAGCCAAAATCAGTTGCATTGTGATTGTCTGAGTTGCTGTGATATCAACACAATGGCTTGCAGAAACTTTTGAAATCAAATTGTATGTTTTAACGAGGGGAAAAACTCACACATCTAAATAAATTCCCACGAGAGCTCTAAACAGCTGCCCGTGTGTTCAGTCAGCCTGCCATGGGCATCACTCTTCTCCAGGTATTTTTTTCCCAACTTTTGTTATTCCAGTATCTGTAACAGATTACAGATAAAACAGATAACCCTAAATAGCTTCCAGAAAAAAAAAAAAAAAGCAAGCAGCACTGTTTTTGTGACTGATATTTGTCTTCATAACCCTGCATTTCCAAGGTTCAAGTGTTCTGTGCCAACAATTCCCACTTTTTAGTCATGATGCCTGCATGCTTACATCCAATAAGAAAAACCTAGATAACCTTGCAAATAGAGAAATAATCACTAAAATTAAAGATAGAATATATATAAAAAGAAAGACTCGAATTTGGATTAATTTCAGAATAGATTAAAGGAAGCAGGTAAACATAAGGACTTGAAATATTGAAAGAGCACAACAGCAGCAAAACAAGTAGCAAATGCCTGGCAACTATGTTGCCCTCTAAACCACTGAAAAGGAGCACAATCAGTTTAAGAGGTCAGATTCAAGGCTCAAAAGAAACCAGTAAGGTTCTGAAGGAAAACACGGCACACAGGTTTTTATAAACTGCAAACGCAGTAGAATCAGGGCTTTCCAAAGGGTGCTGAGAACGAAACAGATCTTACTTTCAAGATACATCCCAAAGAAGGTGAATAAAAAGAAACTGTACCTGTTTGTTGCTGATCCTAAAACTGATAAAGGAACTGAAACATGTATTTGACAAAGCCCACTATCAGCTAATGGAATCAGGAATCAAAGCATGCAGCCATTTGCATTGGAAAGTTAAAATGAGGTGCCTTTCCACAGCCTCTGTGGTCCCTGTTGGGCTCAGTGCAGGGATAACCAGGCAGGATGGTTGGGCTGGGACACACAGCAGTCAATTAGATAATGTATTGGCTGCTCAGGGTGCCAAAGCAAATAAAGCAGCTGTGAGGGGATGACTAATACCAGATAGAATGAAATAGCTGCTCTTCACTGACACTCACTCAATATATTTCCCAACCTGACAGGATCTCAAAGGCTACTTTTCATTCTTTAGACTTGTGTTGTGCCAAAACAAACCATCTCAAGATCTCTTTCTCCTTCTTGCCAGTATTTCTTACCCTTTCCCATCTCACCCCAGTGGGCAAGTGTAAAGCACAGCCAAACCTCGCAATGCACAGCTCCACGGGGATACAGGGCTCTTGGAGCAGCCTCTTCTGATCCTTCTGGGCTTTACAGCCACCCACCTGCAACCACCCAGAACCTGGGAGGCCTGGAGATGGCATGGTGCCACCTCCCATGTCCTGCCAGCAGCCTGTGCCTTCCACAGCCCCCACAGCGACTTCAGCAATGGATAAATTCACCTGGGGGCAATGAGCCTCTGATTGCAAATAGCTGGTATCTGAGGAAGCTCAGCCAATGCCACAACACCCAAATTACAGGTTAAAAGCAGCTGACACTGATTTGAAGTCAACTTAATTAATCCAGCACACCTTTGGTAGAAACAACCTTGCAACTAATGAAGGCCACTGCTCTCAGAGGTTGTGTGCTTTCTCGTCCCTTTATTCTAGATCCACGTATTTCACATTTTGTTTTTCCTTTTCCCTAGCTCTCCACTCTCATTTGACCCTTCCCCCACTTATTTCACCCTTGTTACTCTTTGTTTTACTAAGTTTCTGCAGTTATTCCTCTCAGCTCCTGTTTCCCATTTCCTAGAAGGAGGCCACTATTCTGGTTTGGTAACATTTTATATCCACCTCACATGGTATGAATCATGCGATCTTCAGAGCAGTGAGGACTCAAGACCCCTGTTTACAGCTGCCAAGCGTTTTCAATGTGGCATATGATCATGCTGTGGGAGTTCCCACTGCATTATTCCATGCAAATAGCAAATACCTCATAGATTAAATATCATACCAATAACCTACAGGGTTTCTGCACAGCCGATTGCATTCCCAGTGGGAAATTAGGAGAAGGGACTATAAGAATTCCGAGTTTAAAGGCGACTCTCCATGTTCAGCTATCTCCTTGTTACCTGCAGCTCCTTTCTGAACAGAGGGGAAGGGCACAGTTCTACCTACAGTGTTAACACTGATTAAACCACATCACAGTTCTCATGTGCCCTTATGCCCAAGATAAAAATATGGTGAATCCCATCGGACACTAAACTGAAAAACTAACCTGGATGGAAAAAAAGACACAAGTAAAAATGCAGATACTATATTCTTGGTTAGTTTACAGCAGGATTTCTACACAGTGTGCCTCAATGAAATGGGAAGGGGTGAATAAAACAACCTCTTCAGACAGCAAGAGCTGCTCACTGAATTACACCTAACACAAGCCTGTCTACAGGAGAGAGTCTAGAGCCTTTTAGCGTGCTAGACAAGTATCAGGAAAAGATAAAAGGCAAAAGCATAATAGAATAAAATGAGAACGTATGCACTTCTGGGAAGATTCAAGTGGCAATTTGGTCTTGGCTCCTCTTAGCCACTTACAGTGTCATCGCCGCATCCCTCAGTGGAGTGGTGAGTGTCTATCGCTGTGGAGGGGAGGAGGGAGGAGAGGAACGTGAATGGGAAACCAGTCAGGTACCTGCGACACACCCAGGTGGTCTGTTCGGGACAAGCACACGACGCAAAAGCGTGACCAGGCATTTAACACACGTGCCCTCCCACACAAAACCTGTTATTAAAGAAGCGTTTTACAGCATCTTCAGAGATAGTGGCTTTTCTTTAGTGCATCTACCACTCCCCACGCCATCAAGAGAGTTCAGCCGCGACCAGAAGCTTCAAAGTGGCGGGATGTTCAAACAGCATGGGAAGCACCTTCCAGCCTTTCCCGAACGCCTGCGCTCGGCCCGTGGGGTGGGAGCAGCCTGCGGGCCGTACGTGCCGCGGGGACCCGCCGGCTCCCACAGCGGGTCACCCGGCCCGGCCCGGCCCGACCTCCCGGCCCGAGTGGGGCCATCCCGGAGCACGCGGCTCAGCAGTGCGGCCGGACGGGGCCGGCCTGCGGCTCCCGCGGGGCTCCGGCGGCGGGGCAGGGGGCGGCCGAGGGGCCGGGCCCCGCCGCACCGTCCCTTTCTCACCCGGCTGCGCCCCGCCGCGCTCGGACACTCACCGCGAGGCAGCGTCCAACCCCGCGGGCCCGTCCGGCGGGCGCGCCTGGCAGAGCCGGGCCGGGCACAGCGGGGGCTGGGCTGGGCTTGGCTCGGTTGGGTCGGGCTCGGTTCGGTTGGGTCGGGCTGGGCCGGGCCCGGTCCCGCGCTGTCCCCGCCGCCGCACAGCATCGGTAACCACGGCAACCTCAAGTCGCCCTGCCATTGGCGGGTTTAACGCGGGGCAGCAGCCAATGGGGCGCGGCCTCTGGGCCCGCCTGGCCAATGGGCGCGGCCGCCTGGCCGGGCGGCGCGTGACGCGGCGCGCGGGGCGGGGCGTGGCCGGGGCGGGCGGCGGGGCCGCCACCATGGAGACCCCG